CAGGGAGCAAGGGACTCCGGGCCGGGGCGGGGAGGAGGGGCTTGGGCATAGGCATAGTTTTACTTATATTTGCGGGGAGCGGGGGGGGAGGGGGGAGAGACAAGGGCTGGCGGGGCTCGAGCTACACCACTGTTTACCTCTCTCCATTCTGAAAACTGAGCATTTATTCCTACCCTTTGTTTCCTATCTTTTAACCAGTTACCAATCAATGAGAGGCCTGTCCCTCTTATCCCATGACAGCTTACTTGGCTTAAGAACCTTTGGTGGGGACCTTGATTTTCAGAAAGCCTTTGACAAAGTGCACTACACCCTTGTCCACATGGTTGTTGACCCCCTCAAAGAATTCTAGTAGATTGGTGAGACATGATTTCCCTTTACAAAAACCATGTTGACTCGTTCCCAACAAATTATGTTCATTTATGTGTCTGACAGTTTTGTTCTTTACTATAGTTTCAGCCAGTTTGCCCGGCACTGAAGTCAGGCTTACCGGCCTGTAATTGCTGGGATCACCTCTGGAGTCCTTTTTAAAAATTGACGTCACATTGGCTATCCTGCAGTCATCTGGTACATAAGCTGATTTAAATGATAGGTTACAGACTACACTTAGTAGTCCGGCTATTTCACATCTAAGTTCCTTCAGAACTCTTGGGTGAATAGCATCTGGTCCTGGTGACTTATTACGGTTTAGTTTATGAATTTGCTCCAAACCTCCTCTAATGACGCCTCAAACTGGACAGTTCCTTGGATTTGTGACCTAACATCCCCAAATAACGTCTGCCACTGGCAGTGGTACACCCACAAGAATCCAACTGGGGTGAACCCTGGCCTCCGGCAGCAACTCAAGGGGACGGTACACCCCTAGGACCCAAAGGGGGTGTACCCTCACACTCATGCAGTCCCAGGGGAAGAACACACCCGCGGGGACCCTACTGTGATAAAGCTCCCGGGAATGGAGCTCTGCGTCCTGGCACGTCCGGTGGCACAGGGTAACTGCAGCAGTAAGGGCGGGTCGCTCCGGCTCAGGCCGTGCTGGGCAACCACAGCCAGTGAGGGGCATGGACCCCGAGGGAGGAGAGTTGGATCCAGGAGCCTCTCCCTCACTGTGCATGACAGAGCCCCCAAACCCCAAGGGGCAGAGTCCCCAG